GTATAATCTTGTATAGTATCAATGGTATTAGGTAGATTTAACAATGTATAATTTTTTAGTGAATTTTTATACCTTTTCTATACATTTTTATACTTTATATTGTTGTTATACTAACTTTTTTCCCACGTAAATTATAGCCTATGTTGTTCGCGTAATAGCTTAACTTAGGTGACAGATTTTTGAAAAGGCTCCAGTAGTTTCGTAGCCCATTCGTTGCAAACAAACAAACAGTACAATTCCCAGTTGGCATATTTATTTACGTGCGCAAGTGTAAATCTAATATCATTTGTAAATCATAATAAATCTGTGTTCATAATACATAAAATAAAATAAAAAATGGTACCGACTTCAAACTTTAAAAAGGATCTACTTATCCGAAAAGCGACTTCTTTCAAGATACTACTATTGAAGCTGGACGGAGGTTGTTTGTAATTTATTAATTAAATGATAGCCGTGATATTAATTGCTGTCCGATTTTGAAATAATTATGAAAATTTGGTCAACGAATTACAATAGAATCGTTCTTTTCAATTTTGAGTGCGGTTAAAAATATACTCTCTCTTAAGAGATCAAACCGAACCAAAAAAGGCAACCGAAACAAATTTTCTATCGAATTTACAAACCTGTTTTCACTGAAACAATTCTGAAATTTGCAACTTTGGCCTCCTTCGAAGTGTTCCACGAGAATTAATTGTGTTTAAAATATAAGAGCGACCCTACATTCTATATCTCGTATCTATTGATGCTACATTACAAATAAATATTCTTGGTGACGACATTCGATAAAATTAATAAGAATCTAATGTTCTGAAACGCCTAAAAATTTTAAAAGATCAACTCAGAGATATATACAGAGCGAGAAAATAGTCAGAAAATCAAACGTCGTTATATCAAACCGTTAAGCCAAACAATTCTACTGCCCCGAGCATTAGTCACGGAATCATGAATGGTCGAAAGGGACGAGGAGGCAGCTCTAAAAATAGATGGTAACAACAGGTGGTCCACAGTACCGCACGCATGTCGCTATGTTATGATGGGCCAGCATAATAAGACCTAAAAGGTGGACAGATTCCGATATTTGAGTCATCTAATTGTTTGCAGCGAAAAGATTTTGTCGACACAGCAAAATGGAAAATGGCAAATGCAAAAGTTTATCAGCCTTCAATAACGCACCTTAATAAACTATTTGGAAAAACATATTTATCATATCACTTTGCATTTTTCATTCAGTGTTTTTTTTTGCATCTTTACCTTACCTTCTTTTTTTTTAATTATTGTTACCTCTAAGGCAAACCTGTGTTTTCATCTTAGACGCGTAAAATTTTCGCCGGAAAATTTCACTCAAATAGATTAAAGAAACAAAATAACTGATACTATTTGCCTTCAAAATATCGATTAGACAGAAGTGGCCTAATTCGACCGACTGAGTGCATTTACAATAACAAAAAAAAACTACGTCAAGTGCATAAAACTCAAAACTCGATTAGGAATTCCAGAAACACGCACCGAAAACTTAAAATGTACTCACACAGTCCCATTTCCATCGATAGGATATGTCCGTCCGTGGCGCACTGCTGATTGATCCTATCGTCTTGCCTCTTAACTGCATACCAAACGGATATAGCACTTGAGACAGTTCTTTTTTTCTAAATTTTGATAAACATTGAATGTATGGTACTTTCTTTAATCAGTATAACATAGCAATATTAAATATTATTAATATTGAAACTTGAGTCCCGTTTTTCTATATATGTCCTTTTGATGACTTAAGACATTACACACCAAACCGACTTAGACAAGATTACAATATTATACAATACATATTTTGAATAATTCGTCGTGTAATAAACGATTACTTACTTGCTTCTCTATTTCTATATAGATATCGTTACATTAATCAGTATAGCTTTCAGAGTTTAATAGCCCGAGTTAAAATTAGCAACGTATGTTTGAATGCACAAGCCAATGTTATTAAGAAAGTGCTAACTTGGGTTACAGAAGTTTTCTCGGAACCGACGTCTGCGCCAATCCCTCATAATGGACGTCGGCGTCGGTTACACTACACACATGAGCAGAATGTGCATGCACACATATGCAAATACAAAATGATCAATTGCTTTCATATATCAATCAGAACGTTAGCATCTAAAATCAAAACTCAATAAAATAAAACGCTTCAAGAATAAAAATTGTTTCATTTTATGTATAGTGATAATTTAGTAAATTTTAATAATCATCCCCGGAGTGACATTACTACGAATATTATCATTATGTCATCATTTGTTACTGACTACAGACACATTTTTTTTTACATTTTCTGCAGATGATATAAAATATTTGTTGTATTTACCCTACGACTAGGTAGCTATTAAATAGCGCAGTTATAATTTTCCAAATAATTACGCGTAGGTAAGTGACTTGATCGCAAATGTAATCTTTATAAGAACGATGATGTTAGTTTATTGTCATAGTATGATATTAACCATGGTTATAAAATAACAGTTTAATTACAAACTTTACACAGCACCAAATATGTCTAGTACTTGTTTGAGCTTGCCCAAACAATATAAAGATATAAAACTAACCAGACCTGAGTCATTAAACAAAAGTTCGTTTATAAACCGGGCCTCAAATCCTGCATAATCGATTTTATTTGCTAGCGAGTCACTGATGACAAAGATGTGCAAACCACCATTATTCTTATTTGTATCTCTGGATTTACGCTGTAGAAATAGACAATCAAAATAAAGATACCTACGCAAAAAAAATGTCTTGATCAGTACTGCTTGGTTTAAAAAAAAATTGTAAAAAAAAATATGCATCTTACACACTAACTGTGGTGATTGTATATACATATTTTGAATTATTTAATTCAATCACACGTCTAGTTACTGTGAACAAATATAGATGAAAAATATGACAAACATGAGACGTAAGTCAATCATCAATCATAATTTGCCGGCGCGTTGTTGGCGCCACAGAACACAGAAAGACGTTAGAAGGGCCTTGTGGGCGTGGCACTGGAGCCACGATCCTAGACAAATGTACAGGATCGTGACTTCACCACGCAATCGCGATGTTTAGTCATTCACGAACGCGCGCGCTGTAAGTACTGTGAAACACGCCACTAAAAGTGTTAAAAATGCCGACTTTCGCAGTTATTAATTGCAAAACAAGAAGCCCATCCTCAAGTAGGTCTAAAGGAAAGATTTCTTTCCATTATTAAGTAGAACACTTCTCAAATTTAGTATTTTTAGTCGAAAATCGTGAAATGTTATCAAAAGTGTGAATCACAAAAAATATTTCCAAGAAAATATACATTGCTGGAGAAGTGCGCATATATATTACATTGCGTCGTACTAAGCACGTAATGTAATGAATATCGCGAAATTACCGTTTTAAATAGCAACATAATAGATTACGGTAGATAAGTAGTGCAGTGCCTGGAAACATTTAATCGATTCTTGGTATGTTAGTTAGTAAAAACTAAATAAAAGTATGGGCAATAAAAATAGTGGTAATAAAAAATAAGTTTAATCAGAGATTAACCATATTGAATTCGTTTGGAATGCGTTTGTATATTAATTTAATAATGAGTGTGGTAATAAGTCTGTTTTTATATTCTTAATATTGTAACAGAAAACTAGTTTTTTTTTTGAACCATTTGAACCATTACAACAATACTTTTTAAATCATTGGATTCTGTTCAGGATAAGTTCCAATAGCATTTATTGTACTGATAGTATTTTTTTATTTTGTATATATTTATTTACATTATATTGTTTGTTAATATTACTAGTTTCATTTAAGCGATGTTCCCGATCTTATCTGTCTACTTGATACGAAATCGAGTAACGTAACGTAAAAAAAACCAACTATTATTATTAATAATTATATGCATATATATAAGCTCGACTAGTACCGATTCAATGTTAGTTCATTAGTAATTTAAATATTTCTTATTGAATCAACCAACTAATTAAGAATTTATATCTAAAGAAAAAAGATAATGTCTCATTTAATCAATACAATTCAATGTATATCCAATTTAATATAAAGAAATCATTAATCTAGTATCCTTTCAATTAATCGACTTGTTGTTTTTCAATATCGATAGTAAATAACTTTATGTCAATCACTAGTGTGATATGTCACTATAGAAGTCTGTTATGGTTGAGCGTGATTGGTTATAAGTTATATTGGAGCGTTCTGATTGGCATATTTAAAATACAAGTGTGTGCATATCTTTTGTATAATTGGTCTGATTTATTCGTCTGATGTACGGCGGACTAAAAGTGGGGCAAGACTGGCTACATCGGTTTTCGTACAAAGGATGCATGATCGCCTTTCTAACCTCTTTTCCGTGTTCTGTGGTTGGCGCATACGACCCCGGGCCACGACATTGGTGCAAGATTAAATATAGACCAAATGACTTCTACCCTCCTTATAATGTATCTTAGGATAATGTTAGGATTTCGAATACTACACTTAAGTATAAGAATAATCAATGCATTCTTTATGCGCTGCGCTAATATTCTGATTATAAAGAGTGAGAGCAAGATTATGTCAAGAAATACCAATGTCAAAATTCATATAATTGTTGAGAAGAGTAATGACCACAAAAAAATGAGATATTGGTATATGCGTCTTCCTCGCAAGTGGTGTGTTTTTAACGTAGGGTAATGGGCTTTAGGCACTGTCCCTGCCGTTTGACAGGCGGCAGGATATTTTCATCAATAGTTGTCTAAATAATAACAAGGGTAGTGCATTTAGTTTGATATTTTTCATTAGCTCCGACATCGCGTATAGGTAGCTGTGAGACCTTAATAAGACCCAAAGTAGGATTGGGTCCGGATCTTTCTTTGCAGGATTCCGTAAACTTCCCCTCCCTTCTAAAAAAAGCGTCCACATTGCATGTTACGAATAAATTAATAAATCTAAAAAGGCACACAATTTATTTTATATTTAAAATACAAATGAATTGAAGTAGAACAATTTCTTCACTTCTTGTCCGCCTTCGGTGCTGGTGGTTCATAACCTACCTGTTCTTCGGCATCGTGTGGCCAAAATGTGGGTCTTTCAACTGGATTTAAAGCTATTTTCGGATACATATCCGCAAACATTTCCAATGTCATATCTTCGAACTTAGGGAGGGCTCTTACACGAGATAGTTCCTTCGATGCACTGCCAGAAATTTTTAGAAATTATGATCGAATACTAAGTTCTCTTACAACATTAGACAAAATATTAATTATTCTTATTTTGCATTTCGTTAGAACTAATCATGCCTCTTTGAGGAAAAGCATAATTTAAATTAATAACTTACTCGTCTATATTCTTCTGCATTTCAGCGCAGAAACTTTTTATTTCTGGTTCCAAAGATTTCCATTGCTCGTCTACTTTTACGGACATATTGTCCTCGGGGAAAGGAACTTTGAATTTCTCATACTCAGCCTTCAATTTGTCTACGAGGCCAGGCACAGGTACCATTTTATTGTATGCCTCCCAATTAATTTTTGGCGGTTCTGGAGGATTCGCTTGCACTCTAAAAGTTTAAAAATCAACGATGGTAGGTAATATACATAGTTTCTCAACGTGTATGCAATGTTAATACAATGCATTAAAACAATTTATTTGATTAAATTAATTGTTACTTTACCGTCTGAGATAACCATCTGACTTTCCTTTAAAAGCAAAGAAATTAGCTTTCTGTTCTTTCGGAACTCGTTTCTCTAATTCTGCCCAGTTTATTGCGGATTTAGTGAATCTATTTGCCATTTCTTTCCTAATAAAATAAACATATATAATTTTACAATTGAAAATACTTGATATTGCAGAATGAAACCACAGAGTAAATGTTTGTATCACCGATATATTTTCCAACTTACAACTGTCAATATGTGAATCAAAGAGAATTTAATGTCAATCTCCATTATTTTTATAAGGTGTAATAAAAACTTGGTTCGTTATTTTTTTTAGGTTTTCAGATTATTTGTAATGGTTTGCGAGGTTTTTTAAGGAATTATCGCAGTATTGGAATGTCAAGTTTAAAACTCTCCGAATTCAAAGGTTACTTATATTCACATTTTATTTACCAGTCAACTCAGTCATTACTACGAGTATTTATCGGTACATCCAAAATGAGCAAATACTAAAATAATGTAATAATACATTTTCCTTATAATAAGCTATGAAATAGATAACAGTTTCTATGAGAATCTACACCTATAGCTAATTCCAACAGTAGTTTTTATAACCTTTATTCAATTTTTATCTAATTACTTTTGTATTTAAAGTACACTTTGAAAGTGCAAATTTCCACTAAATCAGTTGCAGCAACACGACAGACGCCAATGCTTTCACTTCAGGCATTAATAAGCTGATTAGGTATCCATCATGCGATGTGGACCAACATGCAAAATCGCGTGAGAATCTGTTACCATGTCAGTGTTCTGTTGGCAGGGAATCCAATCCCTAAATGACCCTATTCTCAATGTTGACTTGGTATCTTAGCCTTTAAGGGCAAGAAATAGAGAAGCATTTGGAGATTATAACCTAGAGGCATAATTTATCAGTTGGTAGTAACTGTTCTAATGGTCTAAACTACAAACTAAACCCAATACAGTGCCAAATGTTGTGTCCATCAGAATTAAATAATTATTTGGTATTAAATATCAAACGAGTATTGAAGCAACTGCCCTACGGCAATGTTGAATTATTCAATCCAAGTTCTGGGTATTGTCTTTGAGTGATGTGAATATTTACCTGAATAAAGTTAAATCGTTTTAGGAATGACAATCAATAGACGTGTTATAAAGACGGATTTTATCAATTTTATCGAGGTTGTTCGTAATCTTATCTCAAAAATATGTTTTTAATTTTTATTATTTACTTCAACAAATATGTACGAAATGTACTTATTTACCGTCGCAACAGTGTCGTTTCTTGTGTAGATATTGTTGGGACTGAAAATGTAACTAAAGTGATTTTCGCTGCTATAAAAAATATTTTTATTATTTCTCCCTGAGACGTGGGCGAAGCAACTACTAGTATTTTAATAAGCACAATAATAAATGTGACATTATCCAAAATGCAAAAAAAAACATTTGACAGCGGTGGGATTCGAACCCACGCCCTTTCGGACTGGTGCCTAAAACCAGCGCCTTAGACCACTCGGCCACGCTGCCTCCTAATGTAGTGTACAAATATTTCATTTTACCAAACAAATGTGAAGCTGCAATATTAGTAAAAGAAAAAAAAAATAAAAAAGAATGTAGATACATACATATGATAAACACTGGTAGTTGGTTAAATTAAAACTAACTTTAAATTGAAATAAAAATAATTACCATATTTAAACTACTTTACGTATAAAAAAAATTACCAAAAGTCAAGCAGGAAACGCGTAGCTTCCGCAATAAACTGTAATCAAACCCTCCTAAAAGCAACCCTTGCAAGACTTTGCACCTCATTGAAAACACCTCGAGCGTAACCTCCAAATCAGTTCCCCTTGCAAGTTAATTACTGGCTCATCGAATGAACAAATCGACACGCTGTCTCAATTACAATAATGTCCGATGGTGTCGGCCTGCATATCCGGCGGATATTATCCGAAACGACCCGACATCAGACGTTCCGAATTCTGCTCGACGACACATTTACTATAGCGCTTCTGGCTATCTAAGAACAAAACTGTTCTAACAGCGAACGCTTTCTATCACATACCATTCTCATTCTTAACTTCAGGGGAATAAGTCCAGAAAAGTATTTCGGGAAACTATCCAATAGGTTTCGCTACACGTGTCTTTGAGCACCGTTTCCGCCGGATCAACTCGTTACATTCGTAAGTGTTAACTAATTCCGATCACTTTGATGGGATATTAATAAGTTCCAATGATGTTGTGCCCCAAAAGAACTTGAGGGTAATTATAAAAATATATTTACGACGTTACACAGAAATCTTTATGCCTGCTTCAAAAACGTTGATCAATAATTATGGCATTATATTTCTTCATAAAGGCCATTCAATATAATGGTAAAAAATATAATAATCGAAATATTTTTATGACCGATGTATGTTAATTTATAAAATAAATAAAATTAGACGTGATTCAATGTACTTGTAAAACAATTTATCTGAAAATGTTTTAAGAATTACAAATACGGATTTGTTCAAAAGTTTTACAATTATATCCGAACAGCATTAACTTTAAAAGAATGACTGCACTAGTAGCTTAACACTTATGGTTAGATCGCATCATGTTATTATCTGGAACAAAATCACTGTACTTAGCCCCAGACTGGACTTCACAAGAATCTATAAAAAACTCACTGCTCTCAATAGAGCGTCTTGACGGATCGCAAGACGGAAAACAGGTTATTTTACCCTGAAAAGAAACTTATCGCTCGACTTTGATTGTCTCTTACGTTACTTTATAGTATGAGCAGGATGGGTAGCGTAACAAGAGTTTTTTGGTTATCAGAATAGGTGGTTGTTCCCTTTTGCGGTTAGCGAAGCCATAGATGAACGAGTCTGTAATAACAGTCTGAAGGTGTTCGAGGTATCTTTTCTGTATGGTGAATATGATGCAAATATTGCTTCACTGGTATGATTGTAGACATACAAAAACGAAATCATCAATTTCTAAAACTTTTCTCAACCCTTTACTACCTCCACTTCTGAGGAAGTTATAGTCTTTCACTAATATTCAGAACAACATAGGAACCCACCAACTCTTACAGTGTACACGCCTTATGAGGTACGGCCGAATAAAAAAAAATGCACCTACTAGGCTGGACTTTTCCAAAGTTGCTTAACTTCCACAATAGTATACTGAACGTGCTACATTATCTAGCTGTTGTTTCACTAATTATTTATTTATGATTGCAGCCCCAGCGCTATGAAGCTGGAATGGGGGGAGTCTGAGACAGACTATGGGTTGGAAGAGGCTGCCTTTTACGAGGGCCCGCCACCAACAGCGGTGCCTCAACGCAAACATGTCTCATTTAGCCTCAGACTCGATTTAGTAAGTACCTACTTCTTTAATTTATTAAGCAAACTAGCTGATACGGCGAGCGTTCGCTTTATCTGCCTTTAACATGTTATACTCTCCATTGTTCACATTCTGAAAGAAGAAGACAACAACATGGATGCTTGTTTTTATTTCGAGTATATTTGGCGATTTATTTTTGTTGTTGTAAGCGAAAAACTTGAGAGCAAAATTTTTCAATTTTTTTACCTACAACTTTTCCGTGCAAACTAAGTAAAGTCACCGGATCAGCTAAAACTATAATGATTTAAAAATAAAAAACATCTATAAGTCACAAAAAACATTGGGTTAAATCATTGTTTTGCAAGCTTCTAAATGTATTTATTTTACAATATCATCATGTCTCCAAAAAAAAAACCATTAACTCAACTAGTCGACAACTTTATTTCGGTTCGAAGAAAAATAACGAACAGTTGTTTTCCAATGATATTATTAGTTCACGTTTAATTTTAGATAGATCATCTTGTCTTACTACAGTGTTCTATGTCAATTATTAAGTTGGCAGAGAAAAAATTGTATGCTCAACAAGAAATCACACCTGCCCATTTTCTTTACTTTCAAAATGGTTACTTTTATGAATACACACTGCACTACCAAAAACAGGATATCCGATGTCTTATTGAAAACGGGTACGCGATGGTTATAAGCAGATTTCATTAGAAAACTTGCACACAGTAAGCGAAAGGGAATAAATTTCCTATAAAACTTGTATTTCTCGTTTTTCTGGGATATGCTATTCACCGATGGATGCAGTACATCTGCCAAGATTTAATATTACATGAACTGATTTATATCGCAATAAAATCATTTAAGAGAATTCGATGTAGAAGGAAAAAATTAAGTTATTTTACTGGGAAAGTCAGCTGTTGTTTCACAAAAGGAAGAGGAAGAGGTTTATAAACTATGTTAAGTAAATTAAATTACATGTTAAATAGATAAAAGTTTACTTTAATTTACTTAACAAAGTTGGATAAAATTATTTGGACATAACCTTTTTTAAGAATGTGTGCTAAACTCTCTCACAGAAAGGAATCAAGATAACATTAAACAAATATTTCTGTGATAATTCTCATGTTTTGGAGAACGATTGGTATGACGATTGTAATAACAAAGCAACTCGAAAAGCAGGCAATTAGGTTTTAAATTTTTGAATTGATAAAATAACATTAAATAAACGACAACATGTACTAATTTTTTTTTTATTATTTCAATTCAAATTAGTTTGTTGAAGGTTGCTGAATATTTATCAATGATAGTTTTTACCCAAATTTAATGTTGGTAAAATTCAGTTTTATTGTTTGAATTGGCTCAAATCGCCTTTGCAAAATAGGAAGTCTCCTAATTAGTTATGTGAGAAGGAAGGCCCCTTTTCACATAACTAACTAGTTCTATTCTTTTGTGGACATACGTTACATGGTGTTATCTCCATTAAGCTTCTTCATACAACTTTCATTTAATTCAAGTCAAGCACTTAAAACGTAGACGAAGTCACTAATTTGTGCTAATATTATAAAGAGGATAGATTTGATTATTTATTAGTTTGCATTGATTAGACTCCGAAACTTATACAATGATTTAAAACATTTTTCAGCTACGGGAAACTACGCTATACGCGGGTAGCACAGATTTAATGAGAGCGGGCGAAGACGCTAGTATTATATATTAACCTACTGTAAGGTTTGTTATTGACCCTAAAGTGTTTAAGTAAGTAAGTGTGGCCGTAGAATTCTCAGAATAGATATCGTGACACCTACACGAGCTAATATTTCTTGTCTAATTCTAATCTATTCGGAAGTATATCAATGAGTACATTCTCACTATCATTTAAATATCAAACATTTAAAAGAACAATGTCGTTATTTTATTAAAGATTTAAAACAGTGACACTGTTAACTTTGTTTGATTAAGCAGTATAATAAATTATGTATTAAACTGTGCACATACATACCTATTTAATGTTCGAGAATGTTTATACGAAAATCAACATTCAGTCTTTCATTAAGAGTGTTTTTAAAGTAATTCCAACTTTTAACTAATTTTTCACAAAAGAAATAACATCCAAATAAACTGTAATTTAAACATGAGCAAACTACATCATATTTCAAGGGTTCTGTCTGTCAATTGGTAAAACAAAAATATATAGGAAAAAGAAATCATAGTTATCCAGTAAAATTATTGCTATTCCTTGTTATAAATATACCCATTTAAGATGTATTTCTGTTTTTTTCTTACTTAAGAAATTTAAACGTTCGTGAAAAAGTACTTTCGTATTTAAAAATAAATAATAATTTTTGTTCTCACTTGAATAATGTTAATTATTCAAATTGTTTCTTTCAAATTATCTTTATTTCTGGACATTTTATTGCTGTCATTTATATAATATTATTACTATGTACGATTGTATAAGTGGACCAAAACTGAATGTAGTACTAGAAATTGTAGACCAGCTTACGAGCTATCTATAATGAGTGTAATTGCGTATATCCAGTTTCGAATAAACTACCGTACGTATGTATCGTAATTGGACCGATAATGATACATCTTCTATCATCTCGCTTCACCTTTTCGAAATCAGTAACTAGAAGAGTTTAGACAGTATACCTTTCTCACGAATATCATGGGAGCAATCTTTATATACTTGACCTTTCACATCGAATGTTTTAAGAATTCTAATCCACAAACTTAGGAAAAATAATATATATATATATATATTTTTTTTTTTAAATAAATAATAATGTCTTCTAGCGCTATCAACATTATCAATTTCTTTTACCCATAAAATATAAATAGTTTCTTCGGAATCTTCTTAAAGCTTTTATTACTGTTTCTTTTTCTTTCATAGACAACAAACAGCCTTTAACAGTGACTTACACTCGTATTTATAGTCGAGAGAAGTAATTACTTGAGAACTATAGATACGAGTGTTAGTACGCACGGCTACCACAATATGTCAAATTTTAGCAATTGATTTTGTATTCGTCCATCAATGTAATCAGCTTTTAAATGAAATGGAGAAATTTGACAGTTTTGTATATCCTGACGTGCTGTTGACTGTACAAGTGACTGCAATACACCACAAGGAAACTAAATTACCAGACTCAATAAAATTATTGACTGCAGACTTACGAGTATTTACCATAATATTTTTAAGAGGAAAAGAAAAT